GTCTTGTAGATGTAATTATAACTCTAGTTCTAACTAGGGCTGTCAAGTTAACGCGTTAATAACGCGTTAACGCAAAAAAAAATTAACGCCACTAATTATTTTTAACGCGATTAACGCATGTGTATTTTTTGTCCTCGGCCGCCGTAGTTTCAGAGCGCATCGAGTGTAAAATACCATCGACAAGCTGATGCTGACAGCCCCGCTCCTGCCGCCCGCTTGTGGCAGACCACACTTCCACGCTCACTGGCAGGCCCGGACTGGCCATCGGGAGGATCGGGAGGACCGGGAGGGAGTGTGTATGTGTGGCGCGACTCGCGCGAGCGAGGCACACCTTACGTGTTGTTGTTGTTAGCATCTGGTGCTAGCTAGCTGCGCTAACGGATATAAGGAGCTGTTTCAATGACATTTCGCCGACAACTGCGCAGAGCACTTGACTTTATGCAGGTAGCCAGACAGTGTGACATTGTACGAAAAGTCAGCACACTCAGCACGGATAGTACGCGCAACATTATTGCAGCGTCCAGGCAGCTCCCATTCGAGCATATATGCCTTGAGCTGCACATAGCTCAACGATCCATCACAGTGTCTCCACACACACACACACGCACACACACACACACACACACACACACACACACACACACACACACACACACACACACACACACACACACACACACACACACACACACACACACACAGTATTATTGTATGAGAGAGGTTCCAGGTTGAATTGAGGCGAATATTTGTAATGTTCAGAGGTTGTTGTGTTTAATATTCATGAGAATATTTGTCATTGTTCAAATGATAATAAACAAACATATAAAGCATATTTGTCCACTCATATGTTGATAAGAGTATTAAAAACTTGAAAGATATCCCTCTAAGGTACATTTAGAACAGATAAAAAATGTGCGATTAATTTGCGATTAATCGCGATTAACTATGGACAATCATGCGATTAATCGCGATTAAATATTTTAATCGACTGACAGCCCTAGTTCTAACATGTTAGGTTCTAGGCATTATGAAATAATAAATAATCTTAATATACATGTTTTATAGATTACAATGAGCATTTTCCCCACTTCTCTCATAATATAGTTCTCCAATGAATAAGGAAGAGACACACCCTGCAAAAGTGAGTCTGAGGCCCAATTCCAAACTACCCCCTACACCCTACCCCTACACACAGGGGTTAAATTGGGCCGGGGCTGTCCGGGGCTCAGCCCCGGCACATAGGACGTTGCTCTGAGGTCATCACCCTCGCTCATTTGTCATTTGTTCAAGCCATATGTTAAAACATCTCTCGTTCTTAATATAGACTTTATTTAGGGTCGATATGTGTTGACTTTACTTTAAAATAGCAGATCTCTGTGACAGGATATATGACCCGTCTTGTAACACGGAGCCCGTTTCCTACACCATCAGGGCCGGTTCTAACCAATTTGCTGCCCTAGGCGAGATTTTAGCTGGCAGAAAATCGTTCAGTAGAAAAGTTTAAGTATCCAAGGAATACACAATAGAATATATAAAGAATAAATGAAAAATCTCTACAAAAGACCAATACACTACAAAAACTTATTGACATTGGTAATACATTACATGGTCTTGTTAGACGCTTTTATCCAAAGCGACTTACATACTCAATACCGTGGGCAATCCCCACAGGAGCAATTTGGGGTGAAGTGTCTTGCCCAGAGACACAACGACATGCTGACTGCAGTGGGGTTTGAACCTGTGACCCCCTGATCCCAACACCAACGTGCAATCCACTGCACCACACGCCTCCATATTATACATCCTCCTAATATACATCAAAAAGGCTTCAAATGTATTCAGTATTGTATGAACAAGTTTTTATTGGGGTGTGGACATCACATCCTCTAGGGGAGTCCGGGGGTATGCCCCCCCGGGAAGAAATGTTTGAACATTTTAAAGTAAAATGCTTCAATCTGGTGCACTTTAAGGACACATTACTAGAGACTAGATCTAGGGGGTACAACTCTAAACACCGATATGAAAAAGATCGGTTTACATTTTAATAACCAAATATGTGAACACAGCCAATAACAAATACATGTAACTTATTTTATTTTTGTTGTTCATTCATATCTTAATTTATCTAGTTAACATTTATTTATGCATATTTTTTTATCTCTCAAGTTTTAAACGATATTTTTGGTTTACTGTCGTCCTATAGTATACATTGAAATGATTTCAAACCTGTTTATCCAAATAATTATAAAGGAGTGCCTTGGAAATATTTGTTTACATAAATTGCATTTATCTCTCTTGCTCGCTCCCACGCCCACTTTAGCTGTGAGCTGCGGACGCCTGATAAGCCAACACCCCCCACTTTCATCACTTACAGCGCCCATCGTACAGGGCAAATGAAAAGTGTAACCGGGGTGAAAAGGGTGTTACATTTACTTAATTATGAATGTTGTTACATCAAGGCCGAAAATCAAGCGCAAACAGTCAAAAATGTTTTTTTCCCTCCCAGAGCTGCCAGCGCAGCGCCCCCCCAGATCTGGCGCCCTAGGCAACCGCCTATATCGCCTATGCCAAAAACCGGCCCTGTACACCATGCTAAATGTATGTCTGCATAAAGCTGAGTTTTGATCGGTCATAATAACACACAGAATTTGGTGATGATTAATTAGTTTACAGTGAGATTTACTCCCATACTTTTGGCCATACTCATGCAGCCCTACAAATGAATTGAGATTTCCACACAAATGTTCTTTAGCAAGTGTGCAGAGCAGTGTTGATTTAAAAAAGCAATTTGAAGGTTGGATATTTGTAAATCTTTTTTTGTATATATAAATCATTTAAGATGTAAATGAATTCCAGTTTATTTGTAGTACTTTCTATTTTTATTGTGACATTTGGTGGCATCAATGTGTGCATTTGATACAGATAATGGAGCAGTTGCTTTAGTTGCTTTACCCCTCCGTTTGCGCGTTCGGTGCTGTTCCAAACCAACAAGTGTGGAGGGGGAGTGGGTTATCAAGCCCTCCAACAGCGAGTCTGCATTGCACCTAACTTCACCTGCTGCACTACCTGACCGGACTCAACGCTGGGTCTGTCCGTCATGAAACACGCTGTTTACAAATGTTTCATCTCAAAATAAGTAATCTCACTTCTCTTATTTTTCATTTCCTCGCTCCTCGTCCTCGGTATCACCGGAAGTTGATTTGTCTGCGCCATCTTGAGTAGCGTCCCATTGTCCTTATTTGTGCCGGAGGACCGAGGAGCGAGGAGCGAAGAGCGATAACTGAGGAGCGATAATCGAGGAACCACCAGACCATCCTCCGGTGAAATCCTCGGCCACTCGCCCCGCCCCCTTGCTGTGTATCGCTCACTGATTGGACGATGTGATATTTCTGAACAACAAAGTGGACAATCAAATGAATGTTAATCTAAGGTTTTGATAGAAAACATATCTCTTTTTCTTCTCTCAATTATTTTATTTCTTTCGTGCACTCAAATCAATATTAATCAAACTATTGTTCGCCCCCCCCCCCCCCCCCCCCCCCTAGAACCGCCCCTGGCTGTGCGGCGTCATCACAAACGGACGTCGCTTCACGTGATGCTCCGGAGGAAAGGACGTCCCATTGCTCTTAAAACTCATTTCCCTGCTTCTTCTCCCTTCTCGTGGTTTCCTTGCGTCTCTCGATGCTTCCCTGGTGGGAGGGACTAAGACGCAAGGAAAAGATGCAAGTGAGGGACGCAAGGATTGAATTTTAGGTTGCAGTCGAATAGTCCAAAAATCAGCTCCTAACGTCTATCCCTATCGTCTATCCCTTGACCTCTGTGTGAAACGTCACGGGGTTAAGGAATAGTGGATAGGAGAATTCAAAAGGATTTAGGAGAAGAGACTGCGGTGCTTTGAGAATCCGACTGCACTTTCACTATCCGACATATATATGATGCGCCACTGCGCCAGCGGACGTCATGAATGTGCGTCTGCTGCTGTGGGGAAACTACAGTTTTCTATACAGCGGACTACATGATGTATAATAAGAACGACGGACTACTGTAAACTCATCTAGAGACTCTGCACCGTGCTCTGATGCTGTTGTTTTATGCTTTATGAACGTGGACAACAGAGAAACATATTCTTCGTGACCAAAGTTGGAATTGAAATAAAAAAGGAAAGTGAAACTTATGTCGCCCTCTCCCTCCGGTCCACATTAATACAAATGATCCCAATACGTATTATTGTATGAAAATATCTTAAAATAAATACAAATGTATTTATTATAAACGTTAGTCCTTAACATCTATCACTGTGTATATAACCATTCAAACGTCTTTTAAAAGTTGAACAAACCCCACACAGCTCAGTAAAGACTGTGAAATGTTGACTTTATTTGATCATTTCAGTAAAAACTAACGTTCATATTTCTCTTTTTGATTATAATACTGATGAACGTTCAAAACAAAGCACTTTGGCAACTTACCACATACATTTTAAAATGCTTAATAAGCACCTTGACTTTCATGATATCATTTCTCGGTCATAATCGGTTGTTTCCGTGAACGGCCGACTGTTGTGTGACGGCAAATGCTGAGGCCGCAAGACATGGTGGTGCAGCATTTTCTCCTTTTCTTTCATAAAGGAAGGTCCAGTGGTTCCTAAGCTAAAGGAGGTTATAAAGGAAGTTTGAAACCTCCTTTCCTATCATCTAGAGAATTCGAACGGCTCTTATCATGGCTGCCACTGAGGTACTTCCGGGTCATTTCACTCCGTTAGGAAGGTTCCTAAGCAAAACGGACTATTCGACTGCAGCCCAAGAGAAGTGAGATGCAGCCTCTGCACATACGGGTTCTTCTGCTCTGACAGCCAGGCATGACGTCTGTGACGTTTCGCTCTCTCAAAAGTTGGGCCATTTTGCCTTCATGCGCCAATGAGCAGCTCTCATAGGAAAGAACGAGACTCCGCCTCCGACGCTGTATCCAGTTCTTATTATACATCCATGCTCTTCCCTCACACTGAAGTGAGCACTGCTGAGGGTGAGTTGTGCTAGTAATTGTGTTGCAGTTTATTGCAATTTTGTGTGGTAAACCGGCTATTTAAGTTGATGAAAGTGATGTATGTTGTTTAGTGTCAATTTGGGTACATTATTAACCAGTTTTTCTTTAAGTTTCCACCATAAGAAATAGCATTTTGGGTAGGGTGACCAGGTGTCCAGCTTTTGTGTGATTATTTAAAAATAAGAGCTGGGAGGGAAAAAAACATTTTTGACGGTTATACAATATTCATAATTAAGTAAATGTAACACCCTTTTCACCCCGGTTACACTTTTCATTTGCCCTGTACGATGGGCGCTGTAAGTGATGAAAGTGGGGGTTGTTGGCTTATCAGGCGTCCGCAGCTCACAGCCAAAGTGGGCGTGGGAGCGAGCGAGAGAGAGAGATAAATGCAATTTATGTAAACAACTTATTTCCAATGCACACCTTTATAATTATTGGGATAAACAGGTTTGAAATCATTTCAATGTATACTATAGGACAGTAAACCAAAAATATCGTTTAAAATGGGAGGGATAAAAAAATATGCATAAATAAATGTTAACTAGGTAGAATAAGATATGAATGAACAACAAAAATAAAATAAATTGTTATTGGCTGTGGTAGGTTATTGGTTATGTTCACATATTCATTTGGTTATTAAAATGTAAACCGATCTTTTTCATATGGGTGTTTAGAGTTGTACCCCCTAGATCTAATCAATAGTAATTGTGTGCTCAAAGTGCACCAGATTGAAGCATTTTACTTTACATTTTCAAACATTTCATACCCCCGGACCCCCCTAGAGGATGCGACGTCCACACCCCAATTAAAACATGTTCATACAATACTGAATACATTTGAAGCCTTTTTTATCTATATCACCTATGTCAATAAGTTTCTGTTTTTGTAGTGTATTGGTCTTTTGTAGAGATTTTTCATTTATTCTTTATATATTCTATTGTGTATTCCTTGGATACTTTTATATTTTTCTACTGTACGATTTTCTGGCAGGGGGGGGGGGGCGCCAGCTAAAATCTCGCCTAGGGCAGCAAATTGGTTAGAACCGGCCCTGATGAAAAAACTGCAGCCTGGTGGCGGCTTGGATGATCAATAACATGGTAAAGATGTTGTATTGTTTTGTATCTGCTGGCTCTCAAGAACAAACCAAATACATATCCGTAGCCCGAGCTATCCATGCTTGGGCAATATTTACCATTGAGGATTTCTTTATTAGATTCAATAAAATCTCTGATTTATGCTTTTAGGAAAAGCCATTTAAATAAGTCCCTTTATACAGTATTAGGACGATATTAGACGAATAAATATACAGTACAGTATATGATGATTCAAATGCAGATATATTGATATTGTTCCTCTGTTTTCATACCTTGTCAAAGCTTGTGTAAATACGTACATATAAAAATTTGTATATTATATTGTAGTTTTGGGTGAATTGAAGGAAACTTGGAGAAAAATAGACTAATCTAACAAATATTTAATATTTTGCAACTGGCTTTAATGACTGATTTAGGATTTTCTTTAAAAAAAATTACAGCAAACCATTATTATTACATCACCAATTATTTGGCTGGTTGGTTTGTCCTTGCTTAGATTCTTGGTAAATGAATTCCTATAGCCAACATTTATCATAATTTGCAAGCACATCTCTGTGTTTTAAGTAATAAGATTATGAAAACACTGTTGCTGGAATCATACAAATTAAACCCTGAAAATAAACCTACTTAAATTATACAGCAACTACTACTGCAGTTCTAAAAATGTAAAAAGTAATGATAAAACATATTTTAAGGCAGTCAGAATTATATTTTTAAAATATTGTACCAAATTTAAATGACGGTGTGTGAATGTAAAATAGGCCTACTCATCCTACAGAGAATAATTGCCTGAATCTGCTGCACTTCACAGCCCCAGTGTGGCTAAAACATCATACTTAAGTTCTAAATCTGCAATACCTTGTCTATTAAAATATACGCTGTCCTAATGGTCAAATAAGTAGAATGTCAGGTAGGTGTTAAGGGTAAATGTGTATGGCTGGTGAGCATGAAATAGTCATTTGCAACAACAAAATGGACACAAACCAACTGAATTAATATCTTAACGGTAATAATATGACAAAAATAAATGTCTTTGTTTAATTTTGTGCAAAAACAACCTGTGCAATGACATGTGACATTTCCTTCTGCTTACTTAAAAAAAGTAATATTATATAAGTGCATAAAAAACCCAACATAGAATTATGGAAAATAAAAGTAACTTTACACATATAAAACGGACCAAAATGCATACTACATTTAATTACAATTGTTGGACACTAATGCTTCTTTGTCACCAACAGACTCACCAAAAGAATGTTACATGATCAACAATGAGTGCTCTAGTCTTGTGGTAAGAGTGTTCTTTTGTATAGCATGTGCATGTGCATGTCAATGATTCAATACACAAATTATGATATGACAATCTTAAACCTTCTTTCACTGTCTTTAGAAACCACCCAAAAATGGAAGGCAGTTCTTCAGAGATTGGTGAGTGTTAAATGTTGTATATTATTAGAGTTAAGCAAAATGGAGTCATTGATATTGGTAATGAGTATAGACGTCTTTCATCCAGTAAGTCTAGTGCAATATGAACCAGTGACTTTTCAAGGAGTAATAAGTCCAAGAGCTGTCAATTAATGTTCATTAAAAACATTTACCCCTGCTATTGGGTCATTCCAGAATTGGAGGAACATTCAGACAACAACATTTTAGAAAAACGTAACCCTTTCTTTTATAATTTTCTGTTATGGATTTAAGAAAAACAGGTAGTAAACTTTTTCTAATATGTTTTTTTAGTTTCTTTTCAGAAGCGCTCAATGGTGGGCTAGAACTGTAGAAATACATTTTTAGAAAGTGATATTAACCTTTTTATCATCCTTTAATTCAAACACAGTTGTGTTCATTTTGTTATAACAACATTGTTAGTTGTTGCAACCTCAATATGCTTAGGCTACCTGGTGTAGCAATACAAAAAAGGCAATTCATATTCTGGGAAAATACAGTAATAGATTTAAAACATGTAGATTATGCCAAATTATGCATAAACATTTAATTTAACGAAAGACAATAAATTGAACCGCAGCAAATGCAACCCTGTAACTGTAGTGCAACCATATTACTCCTATGATAGTAACAGGGTTGCAAATCAATGCTTGTTAGCGTTTACCTCAAGAATGAATTATAGCTGCAGAATTATATGCTACTTTCAAGGCAAGGACAAACTTAGATATTTAACTAAATAAAGATAACTTTGAAAATATTAAAGTGGACCTATCATGCTATATTTGAATAATATAGTGTAGGACCATACCTATATAAGGCATATTTATACTTTTTCTTTTTCAAAATACCAAACAGATCATGCATTTTAGCCATGCCTCATTTTGCTCAATTTGACAATTTCTAGCTCTGGGCAGATTCTGTGAGAACAGCACCATCTACTGGCCTGGCATATGTACTACAGCGTCTCCAGCGCTTTCGAACGACAATGGCCGTGGCTGTCTCCTCCTGATTGGTGGAGTTGGCCCAATAGCCGTAGCGCCACCGTCCTGACGTCAGGACAGTGTTCAAATCTGGATCAGTTTTGATCAGATCCGTTGCAGCCCCTTTTTTAGAGATTTGGGTATGGAGGAAAATAGAGAGGGTTGTGTTTTCTGACACTTGGTGAGTTCCCTGGAACACCGGGGACACATATTCATGTATAAAAGACGTACAAAAGTGCATTTTGCATGATAGGTCCCCTTTAAGTCTTATTCTGATAATATGAGTAACAGGGTTGCGTTGGGAAAACACTGCACTCACATGGGCAATATTTTAATACAACTTAAAAGATCAGAATCCTGAAGACGTGTCACGCTGTAAAAAAACGCTTATGTGCACGGCCCCTCAAGTAGCTACTCTGCCATGGAAATAAGCAGTTCTTCTGTTCAGTCTTTATTGGTACGTCAAACTGGCTGAATATATTAAACTTTTTTATGACACTAGAAATGTACAATTTCTTTTACAGGATGGCGTGATCTGTCCTGTGAAAAGTGGACAGAATCTCATGTGAACTCCTGGTTGAAATGCATTGGAATAAAAGAAAATTACATAATTAAAATGCAAGAGGAGGAGGTAACAGGACCAGTTCTCACAACTCTACAGAGGGAGTTCCTCAGCACCACAATTGAAATGAAAAGTGGCCAAATTGAACTCCTACTGAACAAACGAGATGAACTTTTAAAATCTAAACCAAACAAACTAAAAAAAGGAAGTGATTTAGGTGAAAAGGAGAGGGACATTGTAAAAGGAAAACTATTCAACCCTGGCCAAGAACCAAACCCCCTTTCACAAAAACCTTGTGAAGGAGCAGAAGGGGACAGTAGCCCTACGGAGCTGGATGATAACTTAACTTCTACAGAAGGATCGTTCTGTGCCTTTCGTAACTTTGACCAGCATGAAGAAAACTGCAGATATATCAAACACAATGTCCTACCTCCAGAAACAGGAATTGAAAACATGATTGATCCATGTCATGAATATAAGTCCCTGGAGATTGCACACAAACTAGACCCAGAAAGACTCAAATCAAAGGTAGCAAGTGAGGTGTTAAGATTTGCATGTGCGTGCATGAATATGCGAAGCAATGGGACCATTCATTTTGGGATTATGGATAAAATAAGAGGTAAACATCGGCATGGTGAAATCATAGGGGTTCCTGTCAGTCGAGAGGATTTTGTCAATGCACTAGACTACATTGAAAGATGCTTTAAAGGGTCAGATCAACAATGCGACGCCAGGAGTTGCATAAGTGACCCCCGATTCATTGAGGTCCTTGACAAGGAAACTAGTGAGAAAACATGGGTCATTGAGTATGATGTTGTCCCAAAGGCAAGCATTGTGAAAGACAAGCTTTTCTCTGTTGGTCTCCCAAAATTCTCTGAGAAGGCCAAAAAAATCAAACTTGAAGAGAAAGTTCCTTATCAGAGAGTCGGAGCTAACACACCACGCATACTAGATGATGACCTTGTTCTTTTCATTCAAAGACTCAAGGAGAAAGACCAACAGAGAGAAGAGGCAGAATCTTCAAGCAATCAAACAACTGTTGAATGTGAAGAAGATCAAAAGAGGAAACTCTCCATCCTCTTAACATGTGGGAACATGCATATGGACGACTCCATGTTCTACATCATAGTGACCAACAAATTTCACACCGAGCATCTCAGCCACATGAGCTTCTTGCTAAACATGAATATCTTCTGTGTGTTTGATTTTGACCCTGATTCCAAAGAATCTGGTCTTTGTGGTAGATACAAGGAGCAGAAGGCTGTAAACCTTCACTTTCTTGATGACTACGCAAATAATGATCGATTAAAACATTCTGACTTTGTTGATTCGTTGCAGCTTTTTGAGAGACCAAGCTGGATGTTTTGCAATGGAAGAAATAACTTTCCCGGAGGAGAGAAACCCTGTGATGAAAAGGTGTGGATCAAAACAAGAAAGAAGAAACTGATAAAGGCAGTATCTCTCATCTGCAATGACATCCTTCCCAGGCAGTCATTTGTAGTCCTCTTCCTGCTCATGTCTGATATTGAGCAGCCACTTGTTGAGACTTTCCATCAATTCTTTGCAGAGATGGAGGGAAAGGATAATTTGACAGTAATATCTGAGTCAAAGAAAAACTATGAAAAATGGGCAAGTCTTGTGCAGGTGTCTTGTGACATGTCTTCACTCAAAGAAATCAGCATTGTTGAAATGCCACTGAGTCATGTGGACGCCACAGTTCAAAGCATTCAGCTCTCAAAGAATCAACCCACCAGGACATTACCTGTCTTTAACGGAGCACTTTGCTTCTTAAAGTCAGTTGAAGAGGCTATGTTAGATTCTTTGGAAATCATCAGTGTTGACCAATGTGATGATACAAATGTGGATATCATGAGTGAGGAAGAAATCCAACAAATTGAGAGAAACTTCTATCATGGTGGAAAGATAAAGTGGAAGAATTTCTGGCTGTCTGACAAACAAAAGTGTGGAAATATCATAAAGAGGGATGCCTACAGTGAAACAAGCACAATACTGGACAGGATTAAACAGCGTCACAAGGCCGAACGTCCCATTGAGAGTGTGAACATATATCATCAACCTGGCAGTGGTGGAAGTACAGTGGCAAGACAGATCCTCTGGAGTTGGAGAAAGAAAGTGCGATGTGCAGTGGTTAAACAGAGTAAGGACATCACAACTGTGTGTAAACATGCAGTGAAACTGAGAGAACATGACAAGGGAGACAAAGACAACTGTTTGCCAGTGCTCTTGCTCTGCGAGGACCGCAATGCAGATTACATAGATGATCTCAGGCGGGAACTTGGAAATGTCATTGCACCCCAAAAAAAAAATCCTTCTGTGTTGTGCTTTATCCTCCTTATTTGCAACAGGTCAAACCAACCAGAAAAAATGTGCAGAAAATCATCATCACAAACAGTGGCAGTCAGACATCAGTTTACAAATAGAGAGAAGCCTTTGTTCTCAGATAAACTTGAGCACCTCAAGCTGGAGTTTGAACCAAACTTCATCCTCACATTTGTGCTGTGGAACGAAGGGTTCAATAAAAGTTACATTGAAGATTTTGTGAAAAACCTTCTACTTAAAATTGATCATTCATCACTCACCACTCGCCTCATCAGATTTGTGGCTCTCTTGAACTACTATGTTGAAGACTCTTACCTATCTGTATCACACTGCGAGGCATCTCTTGGCATAGCTATCCATGTTGAGAGAGCTAAGTACCATGCCTTTGTGGATCAGCTCAGTGATGAAGCTCGGATTATTTTCATCCACCTTAATGATGAATCATCAACACACATCTCATCAATAAGGATTATTCATCGAAAGTTGGCGGAGGAACTTCTGACTCAGCTGTCTGCAAATGTTCCTCAGAGTGATATTGCCATGGATCTCATCACTGACAAAGTACTTATGAATCATACGATTGCCAGAGACGAGTTGCTGAAGTTCATCAGAGATCTTTTAATCAAACGCAGTAAAAAGAGCAGAGGTGATTCTGTAGACACAGCTTTGTCACCCCTTATTGAGCATATCAGCAACGAAGAGGGTGGTGTACAGAAAGCTGTTGATCTCATGAAAGCTGCTTACCTCGCTTTGGGTCAAGATGCATATGTTGCACATCAGCTTGCCCGGCTGCTTTACACAAAGTTCAGATTTGAAGAGGCCCTTGAATGGGCAGAGGAAGCAAAATCTCTTCTTCCACTTGATCCAGTTATCCTTGATACTTTAGGACAAGTTTACAAGAGGTGGTTTTACCACTTGGTTGACACTTGTAGGACACCATCCCCTGAAAGCGACATTAAAATCATAAGCACTGCCCTCAAAGGAATCTCTGCCTTCCGGGCCTCCGAGAAATCATTAACGAAAGAGGCTGTCAACCGTTGTTCGTACTACGGGGAAGTAGATGTTGGCTGCAGGCTGCTAAAATTCCTGTCAGAAGTCAATGTTTTTTCAAACAATACTGGAAAATCAGAGTTGATGCAGTACTTGTTAACAGACTACATACCAGAAGATGTAAAAAAAACCTGGCAGGGGTTTCATCCTCAGTTGAAAGGATTACAAAAGAGCTTATGCAATACACTTGAGTGCATTTCAGAAGACCTCAGCTACTTTCAATCCGACATTAGCGAAGAGGATGAAGAGCTTGATGCGAGGGATCCAGAACAAGTGCACAATCCAAAAAAATGGCTGAGAAGGAAGAGTGCTGTTTATGCTGAATTCTTTTCAGACATTGGCTGTCAAGCTGAAGGGCTTTCTCCATTACAAAGACAGATGAGGATCTACCAGCTTGGTGGAGGACATTTTACATCCATCCTCTCATTGCTTTTTGACAAGGACCCACAGAGGACAGGAAAAACACTTGAGACAATTATTGAAATGTACCCAGAAAACCTGACAAGTTATAGCTTGGAACCAACAGAACTTGCAAACTATATTGTTTGCCAGATAGCTCTTAAATGTACTCTACCTGGGTCCTCAAAGCTCCTGTCCCTTGACAAACTTCAAAATCTCAGCAAGAGATTTAATACCAAGGGGAAAAACATGTCAGGTCCAAGTGCCCTCTTCCTTCTCTCCCTTCTGTTTTGGCCTGAATCTGGCAATGAACTCAGTTCTGCTGATGCTCAGCTCCTTTTATCATCCATTAATGCACTGCAGAGACTCTTTGAGCAAAAAAGCCTTAATACTCGTCGGAGGAAACCGTTGACCCACTTCTTTCTGGCAAAGCCAAAAGGTCTTAACAAGTTTGTACACAAAACGGCTATCGAAGCACTGGTCAAAGGCACTCAAAGTGAACGAAACCGGAAATGGCTTGGAGGAGAAGTATGGAAAAACAAGGAAGTTATGAAACTACTGCAACGTGTTGAAGGATGGACAGAAAATGGAAGGTTGTTTGTGAAAGGTGGAACCAGAGACAGCAAAATCAGGGTCCATCCTCAACATTCTGCTTCCTTGCCAAAGGGAAATGAACAAGTTACCTTCTACTTGGGCTTTTCATTCGATGGAGTTGTTGCCAGTGACATCCAATAAATGGAATAATGCTCACAATGTTAATCTGTAAATATCGGTCCAGTCTTGTGACACATTGTTGTGTGGGGGAAATGTCTGAAGCAATTGGAAACAGGACTCAGAGAGACACAAGGAGAGCTGGAGCTTTGATGGCAAACACTGACGGTTTATTTGGAGCTTCGGCCGGAGAATTCACAAGACATGTCACGAGCCACAAGTTGACACAGGTTGAGATGCCAAACCAATTCTGAAGAACTCTTCTTTAGTTCGAGCTTTTAACTAGTTCGGAGTGTAATAATCAACATTCTTCAATAGATAGACTAAACAGCTGAGGACACTGAATCATTTTAGTTGTTGGTTATGGCTCGGGGTCATCTACACCCCGAGAAGGATGTGTTCCAGGTGTCCCACAACAATAACTATCTCTGACCGAGAGTTGCCCGGTCATAAACTGGCAACATCAACAATATGCTAGGGCAGCCCCTCCTTAAGGGAGATAGTGGCTATCCAAGGTTGGGCATCTGCGTCAGAGGGCGAAGGAGGACAATGCAGGGCAAATTATTCCCTGACACTCTGGGGTATGATTCTCAAGAAAAATAAGCTAGTTCTGAATACAGCTGTCAAAGGAAGAATGAAAATATAAAAGATTTTATTTTTCAAATTCGGAAAACAAGAGAAAGGTTGAGTCTTAAACCGATTTAAGTAGTATTTAGGGGATTTTTATATATTTTTTTTCCATTTCATTATTTTAAACATTATTATGTTTTGATTTTAATACTTTTTTGTTTTTTTAATGATCTAAAAAGAGCAAATGAATTGTACCATAAGGTCTGCCTTGTGTCTTTGTACAATAAAAAGCAGACAATCCCACGAGGAGATGGCTTGCAAATGTGAGATTTTAAGATTAAGGCAATACAGTTGTACATAACATGTAAACATATTTCATACTCAGAATTTATCAAGCATTTTTGTTTTCTAATACATTTTTTCATTTTAGCACTTGCCCTTAATGTATTGTCTTTCTGTTCATTATGTAATTTCATCTTGAAATGTAGAAGTGCTTTTTACTTTTTATGTCATGTTAAAACATGAAAACAAAGCCTTATGTTCTCTGTATCTAATAATGGAAGGATACAGGTTAAAAAGCAAATAAGAGATCAATGGGATGTATGATATATCTGTTCTTGACATGCCGGAAGATGTGTAACACGAACCAAACCATAGCCTTTACTCATTGTTCTGCAAGTTGCTGGACACTGAGATCCAACAAGAAAGCTGTACGGGTATTTCTATATATATTTTTTCCATTTCATTATTTTGAACATTTTTTGTTTTTTTAATGATCTAAAAAGAGCAAATTACTCGTACCACAAAGTCTGCCTTGTGTCTCTGTACAATAAAAAGCAGACAATCCCACGAGGAGATGGCTTGCAAATGTGAGATTTTAAGATCAGGGCAATACAGTTGTACATAACATGTAAACATATTTCATACTCAGAATTTATCAAGCATTTTTGTTTTCTAATACATTTTTTCATTTTAGCACTTGCCCTTAATGTATTGTCTTTCTGTTCATTATGTAATTTCATCTTGAAATGTAGAAGTGCTCTTTACTTTTTATGTCATGTTAAAACATGAAAAAACATCCTTATGTTCTCTGTATCTAATAATGGAAGGATACAGGTCAAAAAGCAAATAAGAGATCAATGGGATGTATGATACATCTTTTCTTGACCTGCCTGAAGGTGTGTAACACGAACCAAACCATAGCCTTTACTCATTGTTCTGCAAGTTGCTGGACACTGAGATCCAACAAGTAAGCTGTACACGCCCTTATGAATGAGAAGACTGAAAAGGGTTGAAAAAGGGCTACAATATGAGAGTTATTTAACTTTTCACTGAAAATAACGTTTTTGTTTTTGCATTGGCAATTGATAGATTGTTAATACTGTATGCATATACCTATAGGCAATGTTTCATATGCAATAATGCTTCCTGTGTCATGGCTAGGGTCTGATTGTCAAAATGTGACTTCAGACAATTATTGAGCTCATCAGTTACTGCATGAAACAAGAAATAAAGTTGTTGTTCAAAAACATGATACTTCAGTCTTGATTTAAATTCTACTTCATCTATAGTTTTACAAACATTTCCTCGTTGAATCAATACTCTGATGATCAAAAGATGAAATGCTTTACTACGGAAATATACATTCCACTAATATGCACCTTTATATTATTGCAAAAGTGATCTCTATCTTAGTCAAAATTCACAAAAATGCACTAAATGAACAAAGGTAATTTACAGGAAGTTCCTATCAAGGAGTCCCATTAAGTGTTTTCACATACATAAAATAATATTAATAATAATAAAGGGGAGACAATAGAAAGACACATTATAGTTATGAAACTGTTTATTTCAAGAACAACAATTACTATTCAGACATTGGTGCAAATATAACAAATAATATGCAGTAGTGTTTTTTAAAGAGCATCCTAAAACAAATATTGCTGGGGAAGCTTCAGTTTTTGACTTAAAGAAAAACATCTGCTGCACTACTATTAATAATGTATTCAATATTTCCTTGAGAGTTTTTCAGTGAGTAATGTTCAGTAGTACCTGGATTAGTATAAGGTTGTTTGTCCAGACATGTTGGACTGGGGTGTCATTTATTTACTATTAGCATTTATTTACCATTTCTGTCTTCATGAATCACAACAATTTAAAATCCTAATAAATCTTAAAAACATCAATCATTAATTCCTAAAAAAGAAACTGTACCTCAAAAGTAGGATACATAAGAAAACAACAATGCACATTGAAAAATAGTCACAGTATAAAGAAACAGCAAAATTCTAATGAATACATCTGTGGGAACAAAATACTGTATTGAAATTGTACAAAACTTCAAATCTACAATACAAGAGCAAACACAGTTCCCACCTGAGTGGGCAGATAGCCACTTCATGTAAACAACACTATAAGCATATTAAACAGAGTGATGCATCCATACTTACCAGGGAAGACTCTGTATTGCTCATGTAGAGCATTTCATTTCATTGTGAACTACCTCTCTGAAAGGTCCCAATGTGTTCATTTTGATGGGCTGTCTTCTGAGTGGTTAAACATTACTAATGGTGTTCCTCAAGGTTCTGTTTTAGGTCCACTTTTATTCTCCATCTATATCAATAGTTTAGGTGAAAATGTCAATGGAGCAACCTTACATTTTTATGCGGACGATACCGTTATGTACTGTGCATGTCCCTCCATTAAGGAGGCTGTTGTTGAATTGCAAGCTGCTTTTAACATTATTCAGACTCAGCTCTCTGAACTAAAGCTTCTTTTAAATGTTGATAAAACCAAGGTAATGCTCTTTTCAAAAGCCAAAAAGACACCAGAGCCTGTTTTAGATATTTTAACTACGCAAGGAATAAAACTTGAAGTGGTTGCCTGTTACAAATACCTTGGTATCTGGCTTGATGATTGTCTCACTTTTAAACGTCATGTCAATAACCTGCTTAAAAAACTGAGGGTTAGACTAGGTTTCTTCTACAGGAACAAGTCCTGTTTCTCGCTCGAGGCCAGAAAAAGGCTAGTCACTGTGACCTTTTTACCTGTGCTGGACTATGGTGATCTGATTTATATGAATGCACCTGCCAATTGCCTGGTCAAGTTAGATGCTGCGTATCACAGTACACTGAGATTTGTGACAAACTGTAAAGCATTAACTCATCACTGTACCCTGTATGCAAGGGCTGGTCTGCCTTCACTAACTGTACGGAGGCTCAGTCACTGGTACATTTTTATATATAAAGCCATGTTAGGGAAACTTCCATCCTACATCTGCTCCCTGATCTCACGGCGAATTGTAAGTGGCTACTGCCTGAGATCGCATGCTGTGGTTTTATTAAATGTGCCAACTGCTAGGACTGTCTTAGGGAAAATAGCATTTAGATGCGCCGCTCCACTGTCCTGGAATAGTCTGCAATTAAAATGGAAACTGAGCAATCTGGTGCCACTAAATGTTTTTAAAGCTCGGTTGGATGCTACTGAATCGGAAGCTGTTGGTACCTGTGCATGTGGATAGTATGTAAATTGTAATCCCTGTAATGCTACTGTATGATGTCCTTTTGTTGTTCTGTTTATGTTTTTAATGTTTCATGTGGAACCTACTTGAGCAGGTCTCCCTTGAAAAAGAGATCAATTATCTCAATGGGATACAACCTGAATAAATAAAGGTGTGAAATGAAAATGAAATGAAATTCATCCTTAATTGAAATGGTGGTTATACCCAGGGGTGCACATAACTGGTACGCAGGTACGCATGCGCGGCAACAATCTGAAATGCGTAACGTCACTTGTGTCACAACGCGCCTTTGCGTACCTGATAGGTCATCAAAACAAAACACATATTTCGCCTACACATGTTTCTTGTCAATACTCAGTGGAGTAAATTATTAGACATGTCCAAAAAAAACAAAGACATTAAGCAGCCACTTTGCCGTTTCGCTCCCTGCTAAAATCTTCAGACTTTCTATGACTGATTGAACTGGGTGCTGGCCGTGCCGCGCAGGACATAACCGACGGACCTGTGAAGCTTCACAGGAGGCAGAGGCTTAGATCACTGGACGACAGAGTTGGTCGCCGTGTGCACAGACGGAGCTGCTGTTAACGTCGGTGTGTACAACAGAATTGTACCAAAACTACGTCAACTGGCTGCGGTGGGAGACTCCCCTGTGCACATTCTGTGCCCCGCGCACACACTGGAGAACTGCGCAAAATCAGCTGATCACAACGTTCACGCTCTGTGGTCAAGCTGCTGCAGTTTTATTTACAACAAAGTGGAGTAAAACACACAGCTGCAAACTTACTCAGGCTGTTAATGGAAGAGTTTGAAATCAGACAGAGGTGGAAGAAGTGTTACTCAAGTAAAATTAGAAAAGTATTATCATCAAAGTCTAGTTAAAGTAGCGACAGTAAAAGTAGTCATTTTGCAGATTGGTCCATTTCATAATAATGTATATGATATGTTTTATAATTATTGATCATTAAAGTGTTTAAAAATTAGTTTGAATGACTTTGTATACTGCAGGGTAGCTTGTGGATTTACTCCAGGTGGAACTAAAGTCTGATTTAACACTTGATTATATTTTCACATCATTCATCCACATCTGTAAAGTAACTAAAGGTATTAAATACATGTAGTGGAAGAAAAGTACATGATTTACCTCTGAACTGTAGTGGAGTAGAAGTACAAAGTAGCATAAAATAGAAATACTCAAGTAAACTACAAGTATCTTAAATTGTACCTAAGTACAGTACTTGAATAAGTGTACTTTGTTACTTCCCACCTCTGAAATCAGATATGACTTCAAGTCATGTGATAATTTCTTAGTATTTGATCCTTCAACTTGGCCTCAGGAAATGCAAGGACTTCACAGTTTTGGCAACAAGTTTTGGAGAAAGCAAATCGGAGGCTTACAAAGAGACAGGGAGGTGCATCTTCATCATCTTCATCATCTAGCATGCAAGAAGTGTAAATAGAGGACAGTGAAGGAGACACTGAGGAGGACAGTGAGGAAGACTGCACTTAACACCACGCTTCATGTGGGGTGAGTACCAAACGCTGTCTCCTGGTACTCATCTGAGTAACTCACTCAAAAAGTTATGTGCACACCTGGTTATACCCATCAAACCTTATATGGAAATGGTAATCATATTAATCCCAAACTAGAACAAAATACATATGTTTGTCACTCAAGTATCAACTTGACAATACTGCCCCGAGTTGTTTCTCGAGATCATAGTGAATGTTTGGCTCTCATCATGTCAAACACTTTGGAATTGTTGTGGGCTCATCTTATGTTTTTCAATAAGATGAGGCATTAAGATCTCATATGTGTGTACAAAACTCAGGTCGATGGAAGTCAAAATGATAGCAGTGGTACTTACAGCTTTAACTAACCTGGTACTCGTAGGGTTCTCCTTCATGTAAGTAGTTAAATTCAAATGATCAAGTGAGGACAGCTGATGAAACAAACAGGATTAAGTGGAAAAGCCATTTTACAAGCATATTTGCATCCTAAACCTCCCAACAAACATTTATTTATATATGGCTGTATGTGATTAGACATTTGACCAAGCCATACTCACTTACTAGTTCTTTAGCTTTTAAAAAAGAAAACTGTTTTAATTGAATAACTCCACACTTTCAGTATGAAGTTATTAAATGAAAACCAAGCTTCCTGGTGCTCCCACCAATCAAAAAGGGAGAATACAGATTCAATGACACATACTGTACAATCTCAGCAGTATACAACAGTATTCACATAAACTGACATGCCTGAATAAAATGATGCCTCAACGCAAAAACACAAACAAGGGCCTTCACCAAACTTGCTGCAAGTTTGGGGACCTTGAGATCCAACAGCGTTTAAGCTGTGAGGGCCCCTGGCAATGAATGAGAAGACAGAAAATGGTGGGACTTGCCTCCGGCTGAAACAGGGCTACACTGAGACTCGGCCTCAGCCGGTCCCCCATGGCATCACTACAGGGAGAAGAGAAATCTGGGTTTAAGCACCGCAGCGACCCGGAGGTTATGCAGCTGTAAAATGCACTCGGCACGTACATACTACCAATCATTTATTTATTTTGAACGGTAAATACTCAATTCAAAAGTGAAACATTTACTAGCATTTTTCAAATAAAAGCAGAGATGTACATTTCTGTTGATTCACCTTAAAGACAACATTGACCATGTTTATAACTGGAGTACAAACCTGCTGTGATGTCTCATAACTGTGAAGGCCTCACTGTTAGCTCAGAACAGAAATGTATTTACAGACAACTTGCCTTGATAAAGGGTGGGTACTGCCCATGTAACTCCAGCGCCTTCACAACACTACGAACCACATCTACTACACTTCTACACACCTGAATGAAACATGAGAAGGAAAAGAAGCCACAGAACAGAGATGGTTTCAAACAACACTTCATAGTCTTGGTTAGGTACAATGTGAATATTTCCCAATGCGCTCTGTGATGCTGTTATAACTCTTTTGTTTGTTGTGTATTCAGTGTCTCTTCCTCATAGCTCAGTAG